GAGAAGTAAACAGGCTTTAGTTGCCTGAGGCGTCATTTGGTGATGTTCTATCGAAAAATGACCTCCTACACTCATAACGATAAGTTGTTGATTCATTGTTTTCAAGACAGTTTGAGTGGGGCATCATTAAATTGGTACATAGACTTATAAAGAAGCCAAGTCCAATCATGGAGGGACTTAGCTAGCACTTTTCTAAGGCATTACCACTACAATCTGTACGTGGCTCCCATTCGCATGCAGTTGCAAAGCCTATCTCATAAGGGAAATGAATCTTTTAAGGGATATGCACAGCGGTGGAGAGAATTCACAGCAAGAGTGTAACCACCACTCTCAGATAGGGAATTGATTGACATGTTCATAAATAGCTTGCATGGCTCTTATCTTGAAAGAATGGCTGGTTGTGCGCTATCAAGTTTCTTTGATCTTGTGATAGTAGGAGAACGCGTCGAAAGCTACCTTAAAAACAGACATATCTAGGACGCCTCAAGCAGCCAGGCCAGTGAGATTGAATCTCTCAATGATTTCCATGAGGAAGATACAGATGAAACCAACGCATTCATAGCAAACATTGAGTATTCTCATGGTGTACCAGCAAAGCTCCATGGTCCCTCATCTGCTCAACAGGCATCATTTCCAATGCCATATTATCCTTGTGGGAAACCAGCCATGCCTAAAACTTCAGCATATAAACCATGGATTTCTCCTCATGCAAATAAACGAGCCCATGGCCGAGGATATCAAAATCAGTGCCAGAATCAACATAGGCCCAACAACAACTTGGAAAGAAGGATTACTCCTCTTCATCCAGTCCCTATGTCATACAGTCAACTTCTGCCACATCTGATTCAAAACTCATTGGTGGAGCCCAAGACTCTCAAGCCTGTGCTAGAACCTTACCATCCTGGGTACAATCCCCAAGTTCAGTATGGATATCACGGAGGATCCATAGGGCACTCAACTGAAGATTGCAAAGCCTTTCAGGCCAAGGTGCAACTGTTGATCGACAAAGGGTACATATCTTTTCCAAAAGGAAGTTTGGTTGTTCATGTCAACCTCTCAGCTGTTTAAGCTCGAAGATTCCGAGGGTCATTTCCAAAAGCCAGTGGTCCAGATAGGCAGACAACATTGGCAGTCCTTGGGCGCTTTTATCCTTTGCATTTGTAGTTTATTTCCTGTTAATTGCTACTTGTTTTTAAACATTGTTGTTTTGAATGGTAATATTAATGAAGTGATTATGCATTTTCTGAATTAATCATGTCGCATTCTCTCATTTTTCTTATTTATCACAAATCACAAACACGTACACCTTTTATCCACTCCACTTTATCATTGTTGTTAGCAAAGATTGGAGGGAGGATGACGAAAACTGAATACCCATAATTGCAAGCTGTATGCTTTCAGGCAGAATCTCATCAATGATGTACAAGAATTGTTTCAATTCCCTAAACACCGGAAATATAAGGAGTTAATCCCTAGTCAACCACGTCGAGCCTAGAAGTAGCAGTTTTCCTTCGGATATTCAAACCCTTAAACACTCAACCTGGGGCAGGGTAGTTGCTCAGTTAATCTTATCCCGCACTCAAAATCCAAAAGACAGCTGTTCATCAATGACCCTTGACATGGCAGTCACTATCCTTCAACAAAATCCAAAAAATTGAAATTTGCTAAGTCAAGCACCTCAAAGGGAACTTAGGTAAAAATCAGGGCTATCCCGATGGATCTGACAAGCAAAATCAGTCCATGCAAAAGTTAGGGATAAAAAACAAAAGCAAAAGAGGTCCTCAGATCCTCAACAAAAACAAAATAAGATTCAGTGGCCACCCAAATTAAGGGGTTACTGACATCCATCAAAAAGGTGACTGCCATTTCAAGCAAACCTTAAATCATTAGGCTTACACCGTCAAGGTAAACATGTGCAGAGTTAACTGAATGTAGGTATGGAGATCATCAAGAATATGGGGTGGGTACAAATCATACTTTGAGCCTAATATCCTTTGTTTTATAACCGTGAACCATACCACGTTACAACCCTCGAAAGACCTAATTAAGGCGAGTTTTATTCTGAAAGCATATTATCGCAAGGTTGCGTAAATTGACTCCTCACATATTTGCTAATCATCAGCATTGGTGTCATTATCCTTGCTATATCTTTCACACCAATCAAGTTAGCACAACGTTGGACTAACGGTTCATTCGTCTCACTATCACGACACTTAATAAGTGATATTTCTTTCAAAACTTGCATGAACTTTGCATTAGATTTACCATTCATGAACAAACAATTTTAATCGCAAGTCAGTAGTTGGCCTCGAGGAAATTCCAACAAGGAGCAATCAAGCAGGACTGGGTCATTCAGTAGTCATGGCAAGCTACTTTCGTTTTCAAGATGAACTTTTCCAAAGATCATATTGGGGCAAGTTTGGACTACACTGGGGCAAGCTACTCAAGCAAGTCCATTTTCGTCAGCAACTGTTGAGTTCAAAACGAGTGTCGAGGGATCGTGTCATTACCTTCTCTAATAAACTTAACCTTCTGAAAAGGCCTTTTTATCATCAGTTTTCATCCCCCACAACCTGTTACCTGTCGAAACTTTGTAACCAGGAATCACTTTCAAAGTCCAGTTCTTGTCTGGCAAACCTTCAAACCAGCTCTCATCTAGTCAACCCTTCATCAAATACCAGTTCCTGTCTGGTACATGCCAGTTTTTTAAACCAGTTCTCGTTTGGTCACCCATTCTTTAGCTAACCGTTTAACCAATTCTTGTCTGGTAAACCTCGTTTCAAAGTCCAGTTCTCGTCTGACAAACCCCAAAGTCAGTTCCTGTCTGACAGCCATATAGAAGTCAGTTCTCGTCTGACAACTTAACCTTTCGTCACCAGTTCTCGTTTGGTAGTCTAACCTTTGAATACCAGTCCTCGTCTGGTACTTCCCACCCAAAGTCCAATTTGCATTGGCAACCACCAAAGTCCGCCACGTCGGCACCTGCATTTCCAATTACTCGTTCGTTATCATATACATCATACGCATGGCATTCGACCTCATAAGCATCTCGCATCATATGCATACCCAAAATCATATCATACTTCCCCAGCTCTTGCATCTCCGCGTGTTAGCATTTGCATTTCCATTTGTTATGGAACATCATTATCATCAAGCATTCACATTGCGCGAGCTCATGTTCATGATCAATTTCGAGATTTCCAAGACGATCTTCTGCCCTAGCCAGGGGCATGTCATTCAACACCGTGGGTGTGCCCCACGAAGTTGTGCAACTTTTTGTTGGAAAAATTGAAGAGCTTCAAAATAACCAATCTCTTTAGAAAAGCTTATCCTTCTTCAACGATAAGTGGAAATCTCTTTAGAGAAGCTTATCCTTATTCAACGATAAGTGGCAATCTCTTTAGAGAAGCTTATCCTTCTTCAACGATAAGTGACAATCTCTTCAGAGAAGCTTATCCCCTACATCCTTTTAATGTCAGGGTTGTGCTTGTTTCGCTCCATCATCCTTTTGGTGATGGGTCTGACATCCTTTTGGTGTCATGAAATGCGAATTCTCCATTATCCTTTTGGTAATGGATCCCCATACATCCTTTTAGTGTCAGGGTTGCGTGTGTTTGAGTGTACTATCATCCTTTTGGTGATGGGCTTGTCATCCTTTTGGTGTCAAGTTTTCTCTATTATCATCCTTTTGGTGATAACGACCTTTGTAAGATATCCAATATTTCATTTCCCAAAAATTTTCCTCTCTCTGCGGACAATTTCAGGGTCTTCTTCATATCTAATTGACTTCTACCTCGGGAGAAAGAACGCTGTAGCAGTTCATTTCCCTAGGTTTAAGCCGATTAGATAGGGGCATCTGTCACACCCTAAATTTGTCCTCCCTTTTTTTTAAAACATTTTCGCATTCCGATTTTATTTTCAGTATTGCATCACCCGCTTAATTTTATGCCATTTAGACACGTGTCCATCCACGATTGGGCGTTTTTCAAATCATTGTTATTTTTCCCAATGAGAGCGTGACACGTGCCCTATGGATGTTATTTTTGTAAATTTTAATTCCATTTTTTTTAGTTTCCTAATTTCTTTTTCTTTTCAAAATACTAATATTTTTGTACATATTTTGTTTTTTTATTTTATTAATAGTACTAATAGTTTAATTAGAATTTTTAATAGAATAACTTAGAAATAGCATTTTTATTTAGAAAATTGAATAGAATTGTTTAGTTATTAATTAGGAATTAGAACTTAATTAGATTTTTAGCCTAGAATAGAATTTATTTGGTTTAGAATGTAATTAGATTATTAATATTAGAATTAATTAAGATAAATTTTAGATTAGTTTTCTTAATTAGAATAGGATTTATTAATTTAGAATTAGAAATTAGGTTTTCATTAGGATTTTGAATTAATTTAGATTAGTTTTCAATTAGGATTAGATTATGATTAGTTAATTAGTTAAGGATTAGTTAGAATTAAAATTAGTTTATTAATTAGAAATAGGTTTAGGCTGTTAATATTAGATTTATTAATTAGTTAATACAAATTATTAATTAAAGAATAATTGATACAAAAAAAAAGTACAAAACACAACAGCAAGACAACACGTGTATATAAAGCCCTCTCTCATTGTTCATCTTCTTCATCAGACTAACCCTAATTCGCCGCCCCCTATTCATGACCTTCAACCCAAATTCATCAACATCACCATCTTCGTCGAACAACCCATTTCCAGCGACGACCCTTCGTTAAACCCAAATAGAAATCCAGAAACACCTTCAACTTTCCGAAATCGCAACCAATCTTTAACACCCATTTTCGTTCTTCCTCATAACCATTAAAAACCCTTCAAACCTCTTCTTTGTTTTCCATTCTTTCACCTCCATCAATCCAAAAATACTCTGAAATTCCACCTCCATCAATCTTCAAACAACTCATTTTTTCGAAACCCAAATTGCGAAAATCAAACCCAGAAAAATCATCACCATGACCAAACCTCCACCATGTCTGTGATCGCACGCCTCAGAGTGATCGCACGCCTTCGATTCCATTACAACCGTCCGTTCGAATCCGCAACCACTCTACAATACAACTACGATGACAAAGAAGAGTTCGAGTATAACGCACCACGTGGCATGCTTGACACGAAAGGCTCGGCGCCGGAGTGTGGAGTTCAGTGGGTTATGATTGGTGAACTTGGAGCTAAGAGAAACATATTCACGGAAAGACTCTCGAAGCTTCTAGAAGTTCCGCACATTTCCATGGCATCGCTTCTTCATCAAGAACTCAACCCTCAGTTCTTCTCTGTTAAGGCTTTCAATGGAAGGGATTATGTTTATTTGGAGGATTGGGATTCTACTTTGGTTGTTACTGCAAGAGAAACTAGGCTGGCGCAGGAAGGAGTTATTGCAAACATGAAACCAAGCATGGATAAGAAGGTGAAGATTTCAAAAGATGGAAACTGGTATAGGAAATGATGTGAGTTTTGAAGTGGGTGGGGAAGTTTTTACTGCTCATAAATTGGTGCTGGAGACTCGTTCCTCCATCTCCATATCAAACCCCCTTTTTTTTAATGTAATTTGTTTTTTTTTAAAAATAGAATGTTAATATTTTGTAAAATTAGGTTTTTTAGATTATTAATATATTTTTTAAAATTAGCTTTTAAGAGTTTCTTTTTTATATAACTTTTTTAGTTTTGAAAACATATTTTTGTAAACTATTTTTGTTAAGATTTGTTAATATAATATATAAATTAGTTTTTAATTTTATAACTTTTTTCTACTTAAACTTTTAGAGTTTTATATAATTATTTTCTAAATAGTTTTTTTTAGAATTATAAATATACTTTTCTAACTAAGTTCTTTAAAGTTTTTTGTATACAATTTTCTAATTTGATTTCTTAGAATTTTCAATATATTTTTCTAAAAGTTAGAATTTAGGTTTTATTTATCTTTGAGACTTTATCTTCATTTTATTTCGTTTTTGTTTGGGTCGATGACGAGAATTCCGTAAATCGTTACTAGTCAAATTATTGATAAATAATGTTGGATTTGAGACCACCTTCTTTCTCTCCTCATTTCTTCTTATTTCAATTTTATTTCAATTTCCTCAACCGATGAAGTCTTCAATTTGTAAGCGTCGGATTATCGAAATCGATAACCTTCTCGATTTCAAATCTATGGAAAATGACCATTTGGGTCATTTTCTTTTCTTTGGGAACGTGATAGGCTACCTTCGATTAATCGACATAATGTTTGTGATTAAGACGAGATCCCACCTTTTTTGGTCCGCGCGACACGATTTAATCAGAGAATGATTCTCAATATCATGTCTCTATCTTATCCATAACTCAGATATCAATTCACGCGAACTCCTATAGTACGAATTTCATCATAAGTCGAGCTACGACAGTTTAGCGTCACATTTGTCCCGATTCAATTCACTAACAAAACTAACCACTAACTTTATTTTTCTGTCAAATATTAACTGCTTTAAATTTAGTCAAATATTATTGTGGATATTCTTGTATATATATATATATTGTTATCTTGTATATATTCATCTCTTAATCTTGTACATTTTTATTCAAAACACTTAATAAATATCGAAACCATAAAAACCCTAAATTGGTGGACTGTTGGTTATATATCCTGTATATTATCTGTATCCTGTATATATTCATATCCACCTCCTATCTCTTTCGCATCTTCTCAAAAACACTTTTAATAAAAAGAGTAAAGTTCTCTTCGTATTGAACTAAAGAGAGGGGATTGAGTGTAGACTTCTTCCTCTCTGAGTGTCAGGATACTCATTGTAGAGTGCTTGACATTACCGTTAGGGTTCAGTGTCGTAAAGCACTTACCATTCAAGATCAAAAACACTTCTAATAAGAGAATGAAGTTCTCTTTGTATTAAACTAAAGAGAGAGGATTGAGTATAGACTTCTTCCTCTCCGAGTGTCAGGATACTTCTTATCGGTAAATAATACAATGAAAATAATTATCAAGCGGCGGTATTGAAATATGGGAAAATGCAAGAATGGACAGTAACGGGATAAAAAGCAACGATGTCCTCGCATAATTTACAACCATGAAAATGAAATACGAAAAATAAAGGATTAATAAATTTTACAACTGAGAAATACGAAAGGAACGACATAAGCGTTAGACGAAAATAAACGGGATAAGGTTAGGGATCAAATTCACACTTATGTGACAGTTCAATTCGGACTACAAGTGAAATATTAGAAAACATGTTTTAAGAATTTTTTTTTTCAATTAGTTATTTTTTAAGAAAATAGTAGTAATGGCCTTAGACATTTTAATCTACAAAAAAAGAGTTTTAATTTTAAAATTGTGTTTTAATTTTCTTAGGTCTGTTATTATTAAAAAAAAGAAGTCTTAGCCTTTTTTTAAAGTTATTTTTCAATTTATAAATGTTAAGTTAATATTTTTTAAAGTATTAAGTTTTTAAAAAAATACATTCTAATTTGAAGTTTAAAAAAATGGTTTTAATGTGAAAAAGTGGTTTTTATTATAAGTTTTAAAATTAAATTTTAATTAAAATAGAGTAGAGTTTAGGTTTTATTATAAACTTAATAATTCAATGAAAATAACTGAAATTAAAACAAAAAGAAAAAAGAAATAAAAAATAAAATATAAACATAAAAAGGGGGGCGGTCAGCTTGTTGCTGAATGTTCTAGGGTTTTTTGAAACCCCCTTCCTCTTCTCCCTTGCGGTGCTGCTTCCATGGGAGCTTTTTGAAGCTTTTTCTTCTTCTTCTTTGCATGCGGCGGCGCAGATCCCCTCTCATGGCCTTGCTGTTCCGTCTGTTTTCTTCCATTTTCCTCTGAATCTCTTCGTCTTCTCACGATTCCTGCAGAAAAAGAAAGTAAAACATCCGTTAGAGATAAGCTGCTCACCTTCTGTTGAGGTTTGAAGCGGCTGGACCGACGGGTTTGCTTGGCTTTTGCGACGGATGGTCGATCGTTTTGTTCGCTGCTTGTCAGTGATGACGTAAATCTAAGGCAGTCGGGTTTCACTTCATCCGCCGGTGTCTTGCGGTGGCTCGCGGTGATGATGGAGATGCCCTTTTGGCCGTGATTTGATGATGACACTGCGTTTTTGTTCTCGCCGCTGATGAACTTGTGATGATATGTTCTTTCTCTTCTCTTTCTGATCTGAACTGATGATCCCCATTTTTATATTGATGATTTTTCTCTGATTTTGCTGGGCCTGGGCGTCTTGTTTTGTTACGATTTTTGATGATTTATTTGTGTTGATTGTTTGTTACAATTTTTCAGGAAAGTTTGTTTTGATTGTTATGCTTGGGTTGTTGTTGGAATTTATGCGTTTTTCATGGATGATTTGGTCTTGTTGGAGCAGATCTTGCGAACAAAATAACTTTGATCTATTTTGGTGGCAGAACTTTGGGAAATGTTGTTACGTGTTTGAACTGGATTTGGATATCCATTTGGTTCTATGGATTTTTTAAGTCATGTTTGGCTAAAACAAGAAAAACCACTTTTTCCAAATAATCTCTTTTTCCGAATAATCACTTTTTCTAAAATCACTTTTCTCTCTCTCGGAAACAAACTTGAACAAATATTGTGGGGTCCGTACCGGGTTCAGAAATTAAAAGTCGGGGGATGCGGTGGTATTTATTTGTTGCCCCTCCCGACGTACCCGATGATGAAAATTTACTGAGGGTATCACAACAACAAACAAACCCATTTTCGATAAAATTAGTTCGAACCAGTTGACTATTTTTCTAACATTGTTTGATTTTTCAGGTTCGAAGATTCGGCGCGAAGATCGGCGTGAAGAACTCTTAGAATCTTTTTAGCATAATTAATTTGTAATTTTAAGCATATTGTAATTAAAAGTGTATAGAATTTGAATAAATAAATTCAATTTTTAATAAACTGAATTTTTATTCTCCGATTAAATTCATCTGAATAAACTCATCCGAATAAACTTTGACGTTCAACATCCAAATTTGACAGCCAAACGTCTTGCACAACTTAACATTGAATTACATCCAACGTAACTTCTGAGTTCCACCTAATCCCCTGCACATTGATTCGCACTCGATAATAGAAATTGGTGAATATTGCTCTTAAACAGATAAACAGAGAGATCCACTTTTTAATGAATTTTCTTCCGCATTTAACATCCAGACCGTATCTTGAATAACCTACCGTTGCAACTGGAATCGATTCAACTGATGCTCGTGATCAACCCAATTGATATTCATTATAAATTCAACGCGAACCGAAATTCCACCGTTCCTTTAAAATTGACTGGTCACTAGCAGAAAACAGGAAACCGTGCGTCTGTTAGAATAAATTCCTCGAAGCAAATTCTCGCACCGATTTAACTCGAATCCACCTATATCTCAACACATTCAACTCCATATGGTTTAGGAAGCAAACAACGTTCCCTGAAATCCCACTGACGACTAAATCTCGGCTCTCGAATAAATGTCTTGTGTCACGAGGACTCTGACGTCAAAACTGTCGTAAAATTCAACCCATTCTCAGATAAACGTTGCATGATTCGGAGATAGAAACCCTAATCATTTGAGGGATTCCTGATAATGACTGTGCTTCATAATCGTCAGCAGAGTGTAAATTAATGATCCTTTTTCCCTTCATAAATTAAAGCGCACCCAACGTTATTTCGTGCAACAGCAACAGGAAAATTTTTTGGTTATCTGTATTTAAATCCCTTTCACCATGATTTCTCGAGCCACCATCGCTCAAATCATCCGGTGAAGTTATTTAAATAGGGGCAACTATTGTACCCGAAATTTTACCCTTAGATTCACTGATCATTTGCATTTCTTTTTGTTTCATCTTTTGCTTTAGCTAACCGTTAACCAATTTGCTTAGTTTGTTCATTTTGCAGGTGAGTCAAAAGTGGTCTTGCATGTCCATCAAGTCAGGTTGAATTTACATGGATATAAAATAGGGATATACACTCTTTCATGGTGGAAGAATTTGAACTGGATTTTGCTATTATTTCAAAGAATAATTGAATCAAGTTTCTATTATAGGATCTTAAAGGCTTACAGATTCGTCATCGACATCAGCCTAAGCCTCGATGTGAGGGTCCACATTTCGAATGCCAAGATTTGAAATTTAATATAATCAGGATTCTAAGCTTCAAAGGTTCAAGGTGTGCAATTTAATGGTAAACTTATGGATTCAGAGGATTGAGGTCTGAGGCACGATTATCATTCTTTTGTTGAGTTCAAGTTACATGATTTATGTTTCTTCTAAGGTTATGGTGTGGGTCAGGATTTAAAGGTTGCGTCAAATTCATAATGGATCATTTGGTTTTAAGTAATCGCAAGTTTCAGATGGTTCAAAGTTTGTTCGTAATGAGATGTGGGTTGCAATTAAATGCGGAAGAAATTGAGTTCATATTTTATTAAAGATTTGAATTCATATACATGTTCAAGGCCGAATTCCAT